ACATCTCTTTTCAGATAATCTGTGGTTGTTTCAACACTTCAATACCAGAGTTCAATATATATGATTTAAAACCATGTAGCTTAATATACAGAGTGAGTGTATTTGACTGGTCTGCCGATAGTAAAGATGTATCTCTGGCTGAAAATGTATCTCTCAACAACACTGTTGATAAACTGCCAGGAGAATGTAGTTTTTTTTTTCCAATGTCATTCATGCATTTATCATTGAAGAGAACTGATAATTATTTACTTGTGTGTGTTTGTTAATAAAGACTCAAATAAATGTCAAAACGCTGAAACAATTCAGATTTAAGAATTTTGTTGTATTTTTTTTTAGCAACAAATCTACTTAAATGACTAAATTTCTTTTACATTTTTCCTTTAGTTGCTAGCATTTACATGAGGTAATCAACACCCCTCCTCTTTTCCATATACTGCATCTCATTAGGTGCAATCATCCACTTTTCATCGCTTTATGCAGATGATACATAGCTCTAGCTGTCACTTCCAGATGACTCCACAGTCCCTGTGCGAATGTCTGATTGTTATTGACATATCATATTAGGCGTAACAAATTATGGCCAATTGACCTTTGACCATGTGGCATATGCATCCCGGTTGTGCCACTGTACACTTTTCTATATAAGGAAGATCAGGCCATCCAGGCACAACAAGTCATTTAGGACTCTTTTCCAGTGTATTTTTGCATTTCAACTAGGGGCTGGCCCCACTAAACCGTTACAACTTTAGCACCTACTGAGCCGGGATGGCTACTCCGTGACAAGAACCTTGCTCATTTTAAAGAGAAAACAACCAAAAAATGTCCACTTTCATTACTTCTGTAATGAACATTATAAATACCTAATATGTGAACCAACACCCCGATCCAAACTGAGGTTTTTGCCAGTTTGTAGTTGCCATGATCTTTGTCAGAGATGGCTTGTTCTTGTATGGCGGTTAAATAACTAAATAAGCCGGTCAGCTCGTCTTTCTGCTCGGCCATAAATTGTAAAGGCTCTAAACCATGTAGAGCCATGCCAGGTCGCACCATGTAAGGCTGAGTAGGCACTAACGGAAAAGAGCCATTAGCTCCTGGTACAGTCCTTGGTCATAAGTCAACACCCTCTTAACGGCTCACTCTGCTTTCGTGGGAAAACTGTTGCAGATTGTCTGGAATATGGCATTGCCTCTGGTCTTGGATATCCCTTAAAGGCTCACGTTCCCTCTCTGAACAGAGAATAACGTATCTCAATTAACAGTGAGACACACCGGCTAGCTAGAGCTGCCTGGGTCAAAGCCAAACCGCTGATGCCAGCTCACTGAGGGATTTCTGGGTCTGCATTCACCTGCCTGAACTCTCATGAAGATCTGGGTTACCCCGTGGCTCTATTGGTCCTCCAAAGGACATCATCTTGTAACGCCCCCCCACCAGGAACTCCAGCCCAGTGTTTCCTTCCCAGGCCCTCAAGGCATACTGCCCTGTGCATTTTCCAGTGTTTCTGCTTGCAGCACACCTGACTCAAACACATGGGACAGATTTTGAGCACTGCAGAAGGTGAATGAAGACCCATTCACTGGACTCTCGTGTGCTGGAACAGGGGAAGTTGGAAAACATGCAGGGTTGTGTTCCTTGAGGACAAGGTTCGGGAAACAGACTATTGTCTATTGTCATCCTTGGCCGCCCATTGGCCGAATAGCCCACCAGAACAGGGGTGTGGTGGATGCTCCTACTACCACCACCATTAAGGGCCCCAATTATAATCAAGCTAGAGGTGGAAGCCTTGGAAGACCACCATTGTTCCAAAGACTGAGGGAGGGGGAATGTTAATTTTTTAAGCTAAATTCAATTGAGCCCCAAGTTTTTCCATTTGAATATATTATTTGTATTAAGTTAAATATGATTTTGCTTCTATTTTACGTTTATTTTACTTCTATTACGCTCCTCCCTCATTTGGGCAGTCCGCCCCTATTTAATCAGCCTTGGTTCTGTGTCTAGAAGTCAGTTTAATTTGTGTTTGGTTGCTGTTCAGTTGACCTCAGTTGGGTTATTTATAATCTTAGTTGTATTGTATGGAAGTATGACCTTTTGTTATCATTTTTTGATATTATCAAATTGATATTTTTTTCATTTTTGGAACACCTTTGTCCTTGATTCAGTCTGGTCCCACACAAGGGGTGCCCCTGTTCTTTTAGGAAGCTCCTGGAATTTTGCTTTTCCCAGAGCACTTACTCTCATAAGAAACAAACCACTAACTACACTTCTTGTCCTCACATCCTCTCCCCCTGCTGCATCTCATTAGCTGCACTTAACCTACAAAAAGCGCCGCCCTCTCTTTGCTGCAGACTCTCGATGTTATCACTATTTACTGTAAATTGTTCTTTAAAGTATACTTAACTGTCATTTCTAATGTATCCTTTTGAGTCTCTTGTGATAAAAGCATCTGCTAAATGCCTATATATAAATGTAACAGGCGTGTGGCTGGTCTTTATCACTTTTACTCTGTACGTTTTGAACACTTAAGGCACTAAAGCCAGGCTACACATAATCTGATTGAGATAAAGGAGAGGATAAAGGATCCCCTTTGTTAAATTATAACGCCTCCTCCGAACCGATGTGAGCTTGGCCGTTGATGTATTATCAAAAGCAAATGTGCCGCAGGGCCCCTCCACCCCCAACAAGATGCCCAGCTCCACTGTCAGAAGCCGACTGCTGACTCACTGCGCGGGGAAGAAAAACCAGAGGAGAGCTGATCTGGGGCGGCCTTAAGGAAGAAGAGGGATACTCGATAAACACTCAGACGTCTTCTCAGCTTAAATAAAACATCCCATAACATCAAATCATGTCCCCGATGCTTTTCGGTTCTCAGCACTTTTCCGCCAGAGTTGTTATTCTTCCTGACTTCTTCTGTCTTCTGAACAAACTGCACATGCAGTCATAAGCAGTTTTCCTTTCCTCTCCTTTTTTTTTTTCTATGAGAAACAGCACCCACGAAGCAGCCCAAAAATAGCCAACTTCCACCTGTCTGCCAACACTGCCGTTTATCTGGGGGGGACAGTAATCCAAAGGACACTTTGCGTTTTTTCTGAGGATGTCGCGCTCGCTCCAGCGCACACCGAAAAAAAAACAAACAAACAAAACAAACAAACAAAAAAAACGGCTTCATTTGTGGTATTTTCAGACCCGAACTGGAGGTGTCTCGCAATCCAATTAACACACCGCCAAGATAATGACTGTGCTGCCAGGGCCAGGCAGTTGCACTGTCATGTAAACCCTCACTCAAAAGCCTCCGTATCCTCCGGCTGCCTCTGATCTGCCGTGTAGGGCGATGAGATGACACACACTGCTATTATACGGCGCAATAATGAACGCCTAAGCAGCAACTCCCGAAATTCCCCTGACAGAGCAACGGGAGTGTGAACAGAGGCAAGAGGGAACAAGGTGACGGAAAACGATAGCGTCCATGGTTTTGTTAAAGGAGACAAAGATTCCGCTCTCGTCTCAGGGCACAGCAGCCCTATTAGAAAGCATCGCCCGTCGCAGTTTTCATTCTAAATTGGACTCGCGTCTTAAACTCGCTCCCAGTTTATTTCTGAGAAAAGGGCTTGTGGATGTCCTTTCCTACCTTTCTGTCAGCTCTGAGGGAATTCTAAGCAGCTGATGCTACTCCATTGTTTTTTTGTTTTTTTTCTCCTCTTAGAAAATCTGCAAGTCAGGCTTGTCATGGGGGAGGAAAAGCACACACAACTGAGACTGTGTATGTCTTCGGAAAAACACTTTGGAAAACGTTTGCTCAGTTACACAACGTGCGTCTTCAAGGGACACGTTTTCTCTGGAGATGATCTTGTGGGATGGAAACTTGTAAATAAAGTGGGAATAGGATCATTTTTTGTTGTTTGCATTCCTTTTTCTGATCAGCTCTGAGTTACTGTTTGTGTTTGGGGTGAATGAGTCTAATAACAGCCATGGCTGTGTTTCTTGATGTAAAATAATACAAAAAAAAAAACTTTATTTAAAGTGTCATTCTTAAATTCATTAAAAGAAATTTAAAACCTCCAGCCCAACTTTACCCTGTTAAAAAAAAACTGGAGGCATCAGAGTGCACCGTAGGGTTCGGGGTTATTTTAAACTATTGCTGGCACATTGTGTAACCAGGTTTGAGACACTAGAAATAAGATAGAAACAGTACCGCGCACATACCTGACTAGATAAGGTCTACGCTCAGATGTTTCCTCTGATTTAGAGACAAAAAGTTCAAACAAAGAGAACTTTACTTTTTGTAAATGAGTGTTGTCTGTACACACGAAAAAAAAATCATTCTGGATAGGGTTTCAGTTCTAATTTGAGCATTTTCAAATCTATTAACTGCTCATAGAAGAAACAAGGCCAGAGATTAACCGTGAGAGTAAAAACCCCTCCCAATGTTTCTAGACAGGCTAGCACAAAAGGCAACGGGGAAACGTCTGTGCTGTTTCTTGTTAGAGCAAGCTCAGTTTTCCACTGGCAAAACCTGTTGGGATTCTGAAAGCCCGGGTCAGTTCTTGTGTGTGCTTCTTTCTGAGAAAGGTGGTGGTCTCCATGTGAAAAACCCTGAAGAGAGAGTCTTGGATATGTTTTTTTATCTAAATATTTAACCTGTCTGGTGTCCACGCCTACCTTTGCTGAAGTCCTTGGGATCCAGAGACAGGCTGTATCCCGGTAAGGTCTCCAGCAGCAGCTTGTAGCAGGCCCTCCAGCCAGGCTCCGGGATGGTGGGGGCCACGCACTGCATGGCCGCCACGCGCTTGAAGAAGGCCGACTTCCGATGGAAGCCGATCAGCTCGTAAAGCTCAGACAGGATGCTGTACCGCTGGATCTTCTCCTCCTCGGACAGCTGCATTGACAGAATCGTAATGACCCTAAACCGCTTGGGCGCCGTGCTTTATCGCGCCGCTTCTAAATCTCAGCTGAACACGGTAGCGTTTTACAACCACAACTAGTTCTGAAACAATCAGTCAGTGTAAAGCAAGAATTACAACCTCTAACATCCAGAAAAGTAAGCATTCACAGCCCTTCCTTTCTCTATGAGTTATGGTGCTGAAAAACTGCTGGGGGGGGTATTTGTTGAACATTCTGATGTCAAGGCCAAGTTGATATCTTTAATATAAAAAGTAATCGCTTTCTTATTTTATCTTATTGGATGTTTGAATGGGATGATATCATAGCATAGAATAATTTGATTTTTTCCAGTAATCCTTAGTTGTTATTGGCAAAGAGTAATATTGACAATTTAGATGTAATTTAAGATAAAAAGCTTTATTTTCTTCTTATTTCCATGTATCTTCTGGCACCTTTAATATCCTACAGACTATGCATTTTTACATGCCGAGTACCATAAAGGAACCCTAAAGCCTAATTTATGAAGGAAAAGAAGTAAGTTGACACAAAATTCCATTCTTCCATTCTTCTTTCTTTGGCTCTCTGAGCTTTTTTCTTTCTTTGTTAATCCAGCCTGGTATATTCCTGTAGCAGTTGTGCGTTTGTGGTTTCACTGCGTTTCAGTGAGTGAGTGAGTGAGTGAATGAGTGAGTGAGTGAGTGAGTGAGTGAGTGAGTGAGTGAGTGAGTGA